AAATTATTTTATAAGCAAATAGATGTAAAAATAAAAAACGCTTTGAAATATTTGTTAAATTTCCTCTTTACTAAGTTATAAGGCAGGTTTTCAGAGAATATTGGATAATAATAATAAAATTAACATTTTCGTCCTTTATCGACATCTTGTGAATTGATTTGTGGGTGCATGTAGTTTATAAGATACGCATTCATGATATTCAGTTAATAATTAGAAGCACAAAACACGATGGAAAAGCAAAGTAGAATTTGTGTTAATCTGGTAAAACTGCACCCAATTCCAGGTTGTCATGCGTCGACTTTATAATAAACTACCCTGATTTACCATGAACAGCTTACAATATTAGTGCTTGATTAGCGAATATCCTGTTAGTTCAGGAAGAAAATCATAATGTTATTTTCTACCCAAGTGTCACCTAGTAGCAGGAATGTACTGAGAAATCAATAACAATATGTTCTGACTAAGTAACCCTACCTTTACGTCCAGTAGAATGTTTAGTGAATTAGGATAAAACCGTTACAGGAAATGATATTTCTTGTTGTTTCTGTAAGTTCTGTGTAAACAAGCTCCAAATATGCAATCGTGGATAATTTTAGGTATATTCTGTGTCGCAAGTAAATAAGGAATACAAAATAAGAATGGTCTATTTCATAAACAATACGTTACCTAGAAAATTCTTGAAGCAAATATTTTTGTTGCCTGATGAACAGAATTTAGGTCAAAGTTTGGTCTTTGTTTATTTCGACTAATTGACACATATTTTACGGAAAAAAAAAGTTCAAAATAAAACAGATTCTAAACTTGAACTTAATGATATTATGTTAAAACAACAAATGCGTTATATAATTTATTACTCTACATAAACATACATTAACCTAAAGATTTTGTGCTCTTACTTTTTCACTGATTTGGGTACTTCCTTTAAAATGTTATATTAAGGTTAATAGCAGTTTAAAAGCTCTTTATTCTTTAGTTTTGTGTCTTATTTAAAACTTTTTCTTATTGTTTGATTGTGTTTGCATTCCTCGATTATTCTTGTATTATTGAATTTTTAATATAGTTTTGTTTGTTTGTTGTTAAGCACGCAAAGCTACACAATGGACTATCTGTTCTGTGTTCACTGCGGGTAATCGAACACTGAATTTTAGCTTTATAAATCTCAAGTTTACCGCTGAGTCAAGTGTATAAATAAGCATTAAAATATTTGATTTTACATATGGAAACTATAATACGGTGACTGATATTTTTCGGTAAATTTATTTTTTGTTTGTTTGTTTGTAATTAAACACAAATCCATACAATGGGCTATCTGTGCTATGCCCACCACGGGTATCGAAACCCCGATTCTAGCGTTGTAAATCCGCAGACATACCGCTGTGTCACTGGGGAGTTATTTGAAATTAAATTATTCTAATTGTTCTATCGCCGTCATTTATTTGAGATATGAATGGCACACTATCAAATTGTTTTGCTATTAGCACAATCAACCATCATCTGTCGTTTACTAGTTACATAAATTAACGTATAAAAACCTGATATATATATATATATACTCCTGTACTTAAAGCTGGTGTTCTTTTTCCTTCTGTAGCTGTGACTGTTCGCTACCTAACCAAAAGATATATTGGAGAATACAGTTCTTTCAAAGGTAAGCTGTAACCACAATGTATCTACTTTTGTAATTTTAGATTTTTAAGCTCTAGTCATGGGTACCGAAAACAAAGTGGTAATATTCAGTTACTACAATATTAAATAATAAATTAACGCACGAACCTACCTTGAAAATGAAGTAATAGTTATATTTTTACGTAAAAAAAATATAATTGGTTTCTGAAAGTAAATATGTAAACAAAAAACAACAACTAATTTCTGCTCTGTTAAGTCATTACCACTGCGACATAAATAGAAATTGAAGATTTTTTGAATTAATTCCTATTTGGTTGGGAACTGAAATCGCTCGATGAAACATACTTTAAATTTCTTGAAAATTAAATTGTATATTCTTGCATTTATACTAATTTATTCTCTAAAGTATTCGAGAAAAACTTTTGTACTTTACATTTACAATTCTCTTGTAAAATAAACACTGATATATCTCCGGTAGTTCAACCATGAGCTTGATGCTTTATAACGCTAAAATTCGGGGTTCAGTCACAGCACAAATAACCAGTTGTGAAGTTTATGCTTATCAAGAAAAAAATAAAACAAAATCAACCACATGAGGCCAAACGTATAAATGGTAATCCTAAGAAAAAAACTAAATTTTAATTTCCGCTACTGGAAAACTAGCATATCTATATATAATTCGCTCTTACATCTTAGTATTATCATGTTTAGTGGAAATATTCAATTGATTCCAAACTTTCTTCTTTTGAAATTGCCTTTACATGCGAATGCTTATCAATTAAAGAAAAAAGGAAAAATAATACATCTGCACAATGCACTTCCAACAAACACAATGTTCATACAGGTGTAATTTTCAATATAACTTACAAATAAATCGTAAAAAATATTAAATGAAATAAAAATGCGAAAATAGCGCTCATAGTTTTAAAATAAAAACTACCCTCATTCAAGTACTTTAAAAGAATGATGTTTTATGTCCTGTTCCTCCGTTGTCACTAGTGTTTAGTATGATGGCCATGATTAAGCATTATAGCCCAGTCCACAATTTTTATTGTAACAAACTACTGTCTAGGATGGTGAGGTCAGTCTTAGATTATATATTTTGATATATTTTTCACAGACCCTCCATTGTACATGGGCGTTGGCTTCCAAGACCACGTTAAACTAACCCAAAACATAAAAATCCACTGGAGCTGCATCGAAGACTTGACAAGTGTGTGATCATTTGAGACTGGTGTGATTCCAGTTTCATCGATAATACTTCTCATAAAACGTAGCTGTTGATTTTGGAGTGTTTCTGAAAACTCGTGAACTTTCGGCTTGTAAACATTCGTCCACTTCAAGTTCTTGTTCATTTTCCTTTTAACGGTACCAGTTTTATTGCAATGAGTTTTTGAGTCTAAGGTTTCCCCTTTTATAACTATGCTCTTGGCCTATCATTGTCGAGAAGAAAACATTGTTATTATCCGCAATCAATTTCAGAATTAATGAATGATGTATTATTTACTTATTTAAGCTCTGGCCCATGTTCTGTGAGACGTAAAATATTAATCTCTTAGTGAGAAATGGCCTATAAGTATTAACTATTGTTATATTTCTAGTCATGCGTTTAGATCCTCGTCTCCTTTGGATATAGATCATATCCAAGTTGAAAAGTGGTATAGAGGTTTGTACAAGTTAGTACGAGATAGAGGTTGATCTCAACTTGGATGTATGTAATAATAATAATCCTTGATGTACTCAACCTATGATTGTTTGACAGCACACTAGGACTTTAGTCCAACTTAACAGTTTGGCAAAGGACAATCCATTTTGTCTTCATTTGGTGCAGAAGTCTAAATATACTCCCTCTGCTACAGTGGCTAAATGGTTTCAGCACTACATTGGCTCCACTTTTACCTGGAAGTACCACACCACTGAACAGTAACTTACATATTGTGGATTACTAATGAGAGTCCATATTGGTTCAAATTGTGGCTCAGTTAGTAAATTCATTACTGACAGGAAACATTTAGTTTGAAATACAGATACAGAATGGATTTGAAGTAAAATTAAGAACACGGGTAGTTTAGACACATGAGATTCCTGTAACGTAGAATATACTGTATAGAAACAGACAATGGTATTTTCCACTAGCAAGTCAGTTGACGCCCCAGCATCCCTTGCTTTGAAATGAGAGTGATCGCCATCACGTGGGTTGTTTCTGCACTATGTGAAAAATAACATTGTTGTTTTTCATACCTAATGCCATGTTTTCTCACGCTGGCACGGAATAGGATAGAAGATAAATGATTGATTTGATTTAATTATACTTCATTCGCTACCTCTACAACAAAGATGCCACTAAATATATCTGCATTTAACTTTAATCGTGCAGTTGAAATGCATGAAAGCGCAGGCTGTGAGTGTACAACCAGAGGCAGAAGGAACACCTGAACGGTATTGCTTCGTGGTTGTCTTTAACGTGTACTAAACTTGAATATGAAAACAAATATCTGGTAGAAAATAAGTAATTTTACTCCCGTTACTTTCCTTTTGGACCCTGGCTCTGTGTGTATAACAACCAGCAGTGAAAGGAAAATGGTTTGTTTCCTAGGTGACTGTTTTAGCTGTTGTCATGACAGTAACGACAGTGAACAGCAAAATTGAATGTTGGTCAAACACGAGCCCCCGTATTATAACGTTAATGATATATTTTTATTATATAATAAATTACTTGCTAGTTATACTAAGATTCAGCAGAACCCAACACCAAATATGCATTCAGACAAGAATCAAGGGGTCTGTTCTTGCAGCACTAATGAAAAACCCTACTGCATCTTCTGCTATTATCAATAAATGGTTGCTCATGCAGTACATATGACAATCACATTGCATCCTCTGCTCTTACCAGTAAAGAGTTTGTGCTTGCAATACATATGACAACCACACTGAATTATTTGCTCTTATCAATAACTCCACTGACTGTAACCTTTGTTATGTCACCTGTAGAGCCATCAGATCACATCACCCACACGTCGAATATTAACTGTACCATGTTATAAAGAGATCAACCACATATTTTATTCCAACTATATAGTCAAAAAGTGAACTTATAACTTATTGATATTTTATTTTGTGCTTGTAGTTTGTTTCTTCGTACAATAGAAACTTTTTTTTTAAACAGCATGCATAAACACGCATACAAACTTAAGCGTCTAACCAAGGGGAGAGGAAGTGGTACGTGCAACCGCAATAATTACCCCATGTTGAAGGTTTTACTTTTTCATTTTTCCCAAATGTTTTCTCGGTTCGTTTCGTTCGCCATTTCACCTTTATTCTTGCCTCCCCCTTCACTTTTAAACAAAATTAGGCGCCCAATCATACAGTATATTATAGTTTTATATATATTTACATCGTGTTTTTATAAGTGCAAATTTCATTTTTGATTTCAGATTATTTGTATCAACACAGCGTTACTTTTGATAATGTCACAACTGAAGTGAAGATCCTAGACACGTCAGCCTGTAAGGTATGTGATCTGTCCAATAAACAATCGTGATCTGGTGATTTGACTTATCAAAACCCACTTGATGTTTATTAATCACTGATTCATGTTTATTGATTTCAAGTAGACATAGTATGGTTCGTTTGATGAAACAAACAAATGCAAATTTAATTTATGTTTATTAAAAGTTCATAGAATAAATTGTCTTGTATTTTACTTTACTTTTTAATCAGAAATTAAATTATAACTAAACTACATTATACTGGAATGTTTATGAGCTCTCTGACACTTAATACAATTATTCAGTTTGATCCACATATTAAGTTTGCGTTACCTTGTCGTTCTGATACCAATATTCACAAAGACTTTGACCTTGTTATTTATTGTCAGGCGTTACAAATATCAATACTCTTTTTTTTCCCTTAGAATTTGCCCAGTGACGTATTTTATGTAAATTGGGGTTCGTTTTTAAAGTTCTACTTTTGTTATTGTTTTCTTTTTTTATGCTTACAAAATGAGTTATCTGCTCTCTGTCCCCCTCTCGAACCCCGGATATTATTATTGGAAGTACGTAAATTTATCGTTGACCCATCGGAGGACGTTTTACTATTGTATAAAACTAAAATAAGAGAAAAAAAATTATTATACGTTGTTGTTGTTTTTTAAATTATTATAGTAAACATGATTTTGTTCCTTTGATCGAATTACCCATATTTCTCCTATATGATGCCAATGAACACGATTTCCTTGTATATTATAGATGGCTAGGTGATGAGTTGTAATTGAATAATTTTGTAGTTCATTCTTGGTTAACGTCTGAATACGTCATCACATCAAGTGTTCTAGACTTTTCAAGTCAGCAAAATACCAGTTTCGAATAATAAGTACTTAATTATTTTGACTAAAGTTTTGATTTTTTTAAATTCAGTATTTATAGGAAATATTTTTTTTCTACTGTAATGAACTACATTTTGTATAAAAATATGCATTTTTCATAGTGACTATACTTTTTTTTCTTCTCTTAATTAGACAACAGCTTGTCTTCACGACCATATTGCTTGGGCCGATGCCTTTGTCGTTGTATATAGCATTTGTGAGAGAGACAGCTTTCAGCAAGCACGCATTTTGATAGAAACAATAAGTGCCATCAAAGGCCTACGATATGCGCCTGTCATCTTGCTGGGTAACAAGAGGGATCTGGAGCATGCACGGCAAGTTGGTGTAGATGACGGCCACGAGATGTCCCTACAGTTCCAGTGCCAATTCTACGAAGTTTCAGCAGCAGAGAATTACGTTGGAGTTAGTTTGGCTTTTCAAAGTCTCATCCGAGAAGCGAGAGCCATGCAAGCACTGAAAACACTACCAATCAGACGAAAAGTGGGAGCTGCCATGACAGTTTCGAAGATGATCGGTATGGTTTTTGGAAAAAGCGGAAAATCCTTACGAAATGGGAAGAAGCGACCATCTTTATCTATATGATCGTTTCGATCATTCGTTTCAGATCAATCGCATTTGGAAATCCATTATTAGCATGCCTTAGATCTCTACTCAAATAAAGGTAGAAAATAAAAAGACTTCAGCAAATCAACGACCAACAGAAATAAGGAAGTAAATGCTAAACTTCGATAGCTATTAGTCATTTGTTATATTCATTCTATTTGAAATTCAATGACTTTAGTATGTCTACACAATTAAGAAAAAGTATATATTTTTGTTATCTTTGACAAATATAAAATATCAACAAATAGCGTATATTTTTATAAAATTATTCATATTATACCATAAAAAGGGTATATATTACCCTGTTTATATTTGCGTTTATAATTGATGTGAAAACTGGTGTTAATTTTTTATAACATCGCACTTGGCAACGTGTATACATGAACTACAGTAGCTCGAAAGCAATCCAGTTTTGAGAGACAAATATTTCATTGATTTTTCCAGTATTACAATGAATTTGCGGTGTTTAATATGGACTACAAACTATCTGTGTTTACAATTCTGTTGTTAGTTGAAGGAACACTATACTTCGTAGTCTCTGATTGTTCAGAGCCAAAAAAAAAACCGTGCTTTGGTTAAATAACTATTTTATTGCGTTTATATCACGACGTAACTCAGTGAAATAATTTATTTCACCCCAGTTTCTGTTTTTCCATTCTTCAGAGATTTTCAACAGCCAATTGCATGTTCAATGACTGCTTTATCTAACCTTTTTTTGTATATTTGGTTACTGCTACCACGATGAGGCAGTGTTAACAAAACTAAACAAGGAAGATGTAGAGTTTAATGTTTACATGATATATGTATATATCTGTATAATTGTATTATATATTACAATGGGAGGTGCATTATAAACAAGGAATAATATACACGTATATTCTATCTTTTTTATATTTATGTACAATAGTTACCAATGTAATTTATGTTTTTGGATGATTATAGTAAGAATTCTTTATTCGCTTCGTCATCGCTTTTCGTACTCCTTTTCATGTTTCTAATCTTAAAGATTATGTTAAGCTGTTTCCAATTAGACACTATCTTCAGGGCTGTCAGTATTAATTAAAACTAGCTAAGGCACCCAAGCCTGGCGTGACATTTGTTTCGTTGCGTTCACGGGGATAGCAGGACGACAGGAGTTCATGGAAATAGCGGAGGACATGGGCATTTGTTTGTTTGGAATTAAGCACAAAGCTACACAATGGGCTATCTGTGATCTGCCCACCACCGGTATCAAAACCCGGTTTCTAGCGTTGTAAGTCCGCAGTCATACCGCTGTGCTACTGGGGGGGGGGGGGGACATGAGTGTGCGTCATTCGCCAGCAGTAGCAAGGAAGAGAATTGAAATAACTGCCAAACTCGAAAAATATGAAAATAAGGAGTTTTAACATCCCTCTGGGGCATACCCATGAACCCCGGAAAATTTCATTGTGATCAGAAGTCGGGAAGCTGGTATATTTTTGTTAAAGACTGACAAATAGCTCGAGCCACTTTATGATATACATTTATATGTTACGCCTTCTTCGATGTTTTTGGTTACATTCTCAGTAAAGCTATTGGTTCATAACCAACTTGGATATCTTCTTCTTTATTTAGATACAAATATTCATAAGCGGTGAATTCGGGGGTGGATGGGGAGGGGCATAGGAAGTACATGTCTTCCATCAAAATTCACAACTAACAGACAAATGATAAAGGGGGGGTGTTTGGTCTGGGAACACAGATTATACACCGCTTTAGAAATACCCCGGATCAACCTCTGCTTATTTCACAACGAACCATTTAGGCTAATTAGAAAATAAAGATATATTAATTACATAAATTATATTACCACAGATGTTAAAAGCGTCATATCACCATTTAGAATATCTAAGTATAATGCTTTGTATAATCATGAGCTGCTCCAAACACACTATCTGCTGAATAACAATACATATGGCACCACGTGGTGGTGCTAATGACATGAAAGTATGCCGCTTTCAAATTTGTAATACAAATACTTGTATATACATGACTTTTGTTTTAAGTTACATCATTTTAAACAATATATATCAAATGGACAAGTTTGTCTAGTTTTATCAATATAGGTTGACATTGTCTGAACGAATACAGCTATTTTTTTTTTATATTATGCGCTTCTATCGGTAAGGGCCGGGCGTGGTACGGTGTATAGAATATGTATTTGAGGATTCAAAGTCTGCGTCCCGTTGCCGCAAAAACCCGCCCTCCGCACTTTGGGATTTTGGGTGCGCTATAAATGTGACGGTTAAATCCCATTACCCGATCAGAACAGAGTTGACGGTGGATGCTGCTGACTAGCTTGCCTTCTCTCTAGCTATGCGCAGATAACTCTTGCGTAACTGTGCGCGAAATTTTCAAAACAAACAAACATTCTTTCGTTTCAAAAGGTTTAGTGCCCTGAGCATTTAGTTACTTCTGTTAAGATAATTAAATGACAGAATGAAATAGTGATCTTAAACGATCCCACAAAAAGGTATTAGAAAAAAAAAGTTTTTTCTTGCATAGCTATATCTGTTATATGAATATAGCATTTGATACAATAATAGATTGTAAAACAAACAAATGTTTCAAGATGTCTAACAACCCAGCAAATACAAAATATTTAAGAAATCCAAATCCTGAATTTTAGCGATGATGGAAAAACTAGTCCGATTATATCCATAATTGATCTATAAATTCTTTGAAAATGCTCCTTGAGTCCATTAAATAGCTTGATTTTATTATTTTGTCATAATGAATGTTGTAAATAACTCGTGTAATAAAAAGGTCTTTATTAAACATTGATATATTATTCATTTAAGTCTTCTTAACAAAGCTTGTATAAAGGTTTACTCTGAAAAACAAAAACAAAAACAAAACTTGCGAATCAGCAGCGTAATGCAGAAACGAATCACACAGCAAATTTAACCAAAAACAGGGCCTTTGTTTATTTGTTTTGTAATATATCAGACTTACACCAAACAGGACGTAGAGTTAAAGTACAGGAGTAATGAGTTCGTTCTTCAGCAGCTCGAAATGTAGCGCCACCTTTTGCACACTAGGTAAATTTGTATGGTTCACGAAAAGTAGTTCCGTGGAAGGCAAAAGTCTTGGTGGATGAGCAACATCAAGAATTGGTGGAGACTAGAAAGAGGACTAAAGACACTAATGTGTAACGTCGCTTTGATGGCGTTGACCTGACCTAATATAGACACAACCTTGTATTTATCATACACAAATGTAAAGACCGTTTCTAGAAATTAAAAAATTGTCCGAATTTACACCCGTTTCAAGAACGAAGTCGTCTAAACCAGAATTTGAAGACTTTTAGGTAATTTGTCCTTCACCAATTTGTTAGGGCGCTCGACTCGCAATTTGCGGGTCGAGAGTTCGAATCCCCGTCACACCAAACAAGCTCGCCCTTTCAGCCATAGCGGAATTATAAAGTGATGGTCAATCCCACTATTCGTTGCTAAAAGAGTAGCCCATGAGTTGGCGGTGATGACTAGCTGCCTTCCCTCTAGTCTTACAATGCTAAATTAGGGAGGTTAGCATAGATAGCCCTCGAGCAGCTTTGCGCGAAAATAATAAAACAAACAAAAACAAACTTTCACCAATTTGGTTAAAAATCAGAAAATCAACGACACATTCTTCTAGAATTTTTTTCTCCGTCTATTGAGAGATAACTGAACTTCCGTGTAATTTTTCACCACCTATTGAGAGATAGCTGAATTTCCAAGTATTTTTTCTTAATTTTTTTCTCCATCTATTGAGAGATAACTGAACTTCCAAGTATTTTTTCTTATTATTTGTTTCTCCATCTATTGAGAGATAACTGAACTTCCAAGTATTTTTTCTTATTATTTGTTTCTCCATCTATTGAGAGATAACTGAACTTCTAAGTATTTTTCCTAACATAGATACCACAGCTGAAAGTAAACATAATCTATTTTTGGATTAATTTGGAGGCCAGCGAAGCTGGAACGGTCCCTCCAGGACGGTACAAGTACCCCGGAGCACTGGACCTACGTTTGGGGAGATTTCCAGAACCCAACGCTTTCCAACTTCACCCCGGGTTACTGTATGTGCACACAATCATAACCCCATGCCAGGGTCAGAGGATTAATGGGGAGGACATCATATGGATCCCAGGCCATGATATATGATACCACGCATACACATACAGCTCCAGGCTCGGCCCCACTGAAGATTTAAAAGAAAGAAGACCTCTATATAATGTGTTGATTTGATGATTAAGAAACTGGTGTTATTAAACTAAGACATCAATAATATGTATACAGATCGCTCACTTGCAAAGATACTTTGGGTACTTGATACATTAAATATTAATTTAATTAATTCTTTATTTATTTACTTATTTTTAGCGAAATTGGTTTGTCAGATATCATTATTGTGAAGGGAAAAGTCCCAAACTGTCGCAGTTAACAAAAAAAACATTATGTGCTGCCATCTAGCGACGGTAAGCAAAATTATTATGAAATGTAAAAGTAATTCTCCTGAGTAGTGGTTTCCTTTTTGTTATTTTCTCACGAAAACGCGAGTAATAGGAGAGGATAATAACACTGCTCTTATATACAAATTGGGCGGGCAATTTTTCCACATCTTGCCTATCTGTCAGGAAAAGTAATTTTCATCTTAACATTAAAATACTTTTGT